CACCTCTGGTAACATGCACCAGCAGCTGATGAGAGTGCATGTAGACAGGAAGTGGCTGACAGACTGCAGGAGATCAGCGGCACCCACAAAAGATGAAAAAAGGGGTATTGTCTCACACACTGTATATTGTTGAGAGATGGAGGTCAGGGGTCAGGGGTCATTGTACCAGCAGGGGTTCTTGGAATGTAATAATCTCTCATATAAAATAGATATGTATTGTGGAGAATATGGCATAAGGTGGAATCCCCCTATTTGTTTTTTGCAGAATGCTGTGGCCCCCCTGAGGATGTCGGTGCCCTCCCTCCCATGTGACCCCGAGCCTGTTTCCAAGCACCAGCCCCTGGTAATGGACCTTCCCCACCTGTCACACCTCACCGTCATCAGCATGATGCAGGAACGATTCCGCAAGATACAGGAGAACCCCTGCGGGACCCTGAGGCCCCTGGACCAAGTCACCTGCTTCAAGGTGAGCGCGCATACAGCACCGCGTCCGACAGCCGCCATCGGAGAGAGTATACAACTGACAGGAACAGCGAGTGTGCAGACCCGGGAACTCAGCACAGAGATGGGGGGGCTCCTCATAATGGGCACAGCAGGTGTACAGACCCGGGAACTCAGCACAGGGATGGGGGGGCGCCTCATAATGGGCACAGCGGGTGCACAGCCCCGGGAACTCAGCACAGGGATGGGGGGGCGCCTCATAATGGGCACAGCGGGTGCACAGCCCCGGGAACTCAGCACAGGGATGGGGGGGCGCCTCATAATGGGCACAGCGGGTGCACAGCCCCGGGAACTCAGCACAGGGATGGGGGGGCGCCTCATAATGGGCACAGCGGGTGCACAGCCCCGGGAACTCAGCACAGGGATGGGGGGGCGCCTCATAATGGGCACAGCGGGTGCACAGCCCCGGGAACTCAGCACAGGGATGGGGGGGCGCCTCATAATGGGCACAGCGGGTGCACAGCCCCGGGAACTCAGCACAGGGATGGGGGGGCGCCTCATAATGGGCACAGCGGGTGCACAGCCCCGGGAACTCAGCACAGGGATGGGGGGGCGCCTCATAATGGGCACAGCGGGTGCACAGCCCCGGGAACTCAGCACAGGGATGGGGGGGCGCCTCATAATGGGCACAGCGGGTGCACAGCCCCGGGAACTCAGCACAGGGATGGGGGGGCGCCTCATAATGGGCACAGCGGGTGCACAGCCCCGGGAACTCAGCACAGGGATGGGGGGGCGCCTCATAATGGGCACAGCGGGTGCACAGCCCCGGGAACTCAGCACAGGGATGGGGGGGCGCCTCATAATGGGCACAGCGGGTGCACAGCCCCGGGAACTCAGCACAGGGATGGGGGGGCGCCTCATAATGGGCACAGCGGGTGCACAGCCCCGGGAACTCAGCACAGGGATGGGGGGGCGCCTCATAATGGGCACAGCGGGTGCACAGCCCCGGGAACTCAGCACAGGGATGGGGGGGCGCCTCATAATGGGCACAGCGGGTGCACAGCCCCGGGAACTCAGCACAGGGATGGGGGGGCGCCTCATAATGGGCACAGCGGGTGCACAGCCCCGGGAACTCAGCACAGGGATGGGGGGGCGCCTCATAATGGGCACAGCGGGTGCACAGCCCCGGGAACTCAGCACAGGGATGGGGGGGCGCCTCATAATGGGCACAGCGGGTGCACAGCCCCGGGAACTCAGCACAGGGATGGGGGGGCGCCTCATAATGGGCACAGCGGGTGCACAGCCCCGGGAACTCAGCACAGGGATGGGGGGGCGCCTCATAATGGGCACAGCGGGTGCACAGCCCCGGGAACTCAGCACAGGGATGGGGGGGCGCCTCATAATGGGCACAGCGGGTGCACAGACCCGGGAACTCAGTACAGGAATGGTGGGGTCCCCTCATAATGGGCACAGCAGGTGTACAGACCCGGGAACTCAGTACAGGAATGGTGGGGCCCCCTCATAATGGGCACAGTGGGGGTACAGACCCGGGAGCTCAGCACAGGGATGGGGGGGCTCCTCATAATGGGCACAGCAGGTGTACAGACCCGGGAACTCAGCACAGGGATGGTAGGAGGCCCTCATAATGGGCACAGCGGGTGCACAGCCCCGGGAACTCAGCACAGGGATGGTAGGAGGCCCTCATAATGGGCACAGCGGGTGCACAGCCCCGGGAACTCAGCACAGGGATGGTAGGAGGCCCTCATAATGGGCACAGCGGGTGCACAGCCCCGGGAACTCAGCACAGGGATGGTAGGAGGCCCTCATAATGGGCACAGCGGGTGCACAGCCCCGGGAACTCAGCACAGGGATGGTAGGAGGCCCTCATAATGGGCACAGCGGGTGCACAGCCCCGGGAACTCAGCACAGGGATGGTAGGAGGCCCTCATAATGGGCACAGCGGGTGCACAGCCCCGGGAACTCAGCACAGGGATGGTAGGAGGCCCTCATAATGGGCACAGCGGGTGCACAGCCCCGGGAACTCAGCACAGGGATGGTAGGAGGCCCTCATAATGGGCACAGCGGGTGCACAGCCCCGGGAACTCAGCACAGGGATGGTAGGAGGCCCTCATAATGGGCACAGCGGGTGCACAGCCCCGGGAACTCAGCACAGGGATGGTAGGAGGCCCTCATAATGGGCACAGCGGGTGTACAGACCCGGGAACTCAGTACAGGGACCTCTTTATTGGAGTCTCTGGGAGATAGAAGAGACTATCGGGGGGTTTGACTCTCCAGCATCTTCCACAATTGAAATGTGGGTTTTGGCTTTGCTGACCCTGTTGCTTGCCGTCTTCTTCTGGGCTCTGCAGTGCGGCGACAAAGGTCACTACGCCAACAAGTGCATCAAAAGTCGTTACGCCTTTCTGATCAGGAAGTGAGGAGGAAGCCGGGAATTTGTCCGCTCAGCATCCACCATTGCCGTCAGACTTTCCAGGTCTTCTCAGGAGAATTGGGACCCTTGCGGAGACACTCCGGACCCGAGGGGCTAAGAATGGACTCCATCAGAAATGACTCGGCTCACCGCGCCCCTCCCCCCCGTCCGAATGTGCAACCAGCCGGCTTCTCCAACTCCAAAACCAAGAAAATGGACCTTCTGAGTCTTTTTATTCTCATTCTTTATCACTCAATAAAACAATCTCTTTGCATTCAGTTTCACAGCGTTGTGTTTTGTTGGGTGAATGTATTTTTTTCTTTTAATGGCGGTGAATGGGATCCTTCGTGTGACGGGACCGCCAACCGAACGCTGATTTGTAGGGCCAACCAGGTGCGTTAAGCTGCGTTTGATCAACGCAGCCTCAGCAGTAATAGATAACAACCGCTCTATGGTCGCCCCGGGTAACAGCATGCATGTGTGCTCAGATTATCAGGAAGTCGGGTGGCGGATCGTGACCCATCGCCTGGGCCGGGTTCCCGATTGCCTGTGAAGCGGGTGTTCACATGCGGAGGCTGCCTGGCTTCCTGACCAATCAGGAAGCCGGGCGATGAGTCATGACCCGGCTTCCTGATTGGCTAGGAAGCCAGGCTGCTTACAATATGTGCAGCTAGCTTCCTAGAAGATCAGCAAGCCAGGCGGCGCGTCATGACCCGCCTCCCCGATTGGCTAGGAAGCCGGCTTCACTTGATCCTAGGCAGCCTGGCTTCCTGACCAATCGCAAAGCCGGGAGACGGGTCATTACGTGCTGCTCACTTTCCTGATTGGTTAGGGCTGCCTAGCAACAAGTGAAGCTGGCTTCCTAGCCAATCAGGAAGCCAGGGGCCAAGTCATAACCCACCGCCCGGCTTCCTGATTGGAAAGAAAGCCGCCCCCATTCTCCACCGGCACTTGCGGTCGCAGGGAGATCTCCCTCTGACCAGAAGTTACGGCATTGGAGGTAAGTATCGGGGCATTTGGGGAAGTACGAGTACTCCCCCAAATTCTCAGTATCGGCACCAATACTAGTATCGGTATATTCCGAGTTTTTATGATACAAGAATATGAATTAAATTATCTGGGAATGTTTTTACCTTCTCCCCATTCTAATAGCAAAAAATTGTTGTCTCTGTCCCCTTCGGAGAGATTTGCCATCACTTCCCACCCTCATAAAATTCACAGGAAGTAAAGCAAATCTCCCCAATGGGGACAAAGACCAGGGGTAGCAGAACTCCAGCTGTGGTGGAACTACAAATCCCATGAGGCATTGCAAGATTCTCACAGCCACAGACACGACTCCCGAAGAGAGATGCATCATGGGATTTGTAGTTTCACCACAGTTGGAGGGCCGGAGGTTTGCTACCACTGCCATAGACCATAATAACTTCGAGCCTGCCCACAAATTGGCCGGAGTAAGGCTTTCACCAAGTCCCATGGATTTAAAACAAAAAAAAAATGAAAAACTTTATTAAACTGACAGTCAGCAACACTATTATTATTGAGGAAACACTGAATATAGGCACCTGAGGAAGAACCAATGAAAAATCAGGTTTCAGTAACGGAAAGTCTCCCGGAGCACCAGGAAGGGAGATCAACGATTGTCACAGCCGGGACGTCAACGGGACATCCGGGGCGGCTCACGATGTGCGGGTCAAGCCTTGCTGTGGTGTGTTGGTGACAATGTGGAGGATCAGAAGTGTTCGGATCTTTGTTCGCTGAAAGGAAAAGTCTCAGTGATATTTCCTCCAGCGATCTTGTCCTGAAAGAGAAAGCGTGACGGGTTCAAAGAACTTGGGTGAGGATAGAAAACAGACCATCGTGTCCACCTAAATATCCAAAAGTATGTGGACCCTCCACAAGATGGAGCTCAGGTGTCTCCAGTGAAGGTTCTGGTAATACTCCATCATACAAACATATTGTAGACAATTGTCGTCTTCCAGCCTTGTGGTCACAGTTTTGGTGAAGACCCTTTTCTGTTCCACCATGACTGTCCCCTGTGTACAAAGCCAGCTCCATACAGACATGGTGTGACCAGCTTGGTGAAGGAACTCGAGTGTCCTGCACAGAGCCCCGACCTCAATCTTACTGAACACCAGCCAGGTCTTATCATCCAAGAGTTGTATCCAACCCAAAAAAGTGCTCTTTTGGCTCAATAGGCACCAATACCAACAGATGCACTTTGCAGAAGACCCTTTTCTGTCCCACCATGACTGTCCCCTGTGTACAAAGCCAGCTCCATAAAGACATGGTGTGACCAGCTTGGTGGAGGAACTCGAGTGTCCTGCACAGAGCCCTGACCTCCACCATACTGAACGCCTTTGGGATGAGTTGGAACGCCAGTTGTGAGCCCGGTCTTCTCATCCAACATCAGTACCTGACCTCACAAATGCGTACAAATTGTGCTCTTCCCGCCTTGTGGTCACAGTTTGGTGAAGACCCTTTTCTGTTCCACCATGACTGTCCCCTGTGTACAAAGCCAGCTCCATAAAGACACGGTGTGACCAGTTTGTGAAGGCCACTCAAGTTCCTCCACACCAGAGCCCTGACCTCAACCCTATGGGACATAGGAAAACCTTATGGAACACAGGGGATCCATTGGAATGATTGAGTTCAGGTGTACAAAGCCAGCTCCATACAGACATGGCGTGACCAGTTTGGTGTGAAGGAGCTCGAGTGTCCTGCACAGAGCCCTCACCTCCACCCTACTGAACACCTTTGGGATGAGTTGGAATGCTGTGAGCCGGGTCTTCTCATCCAACATCAGCACCTGACCTCTCATTCTGAGCCTGATGAAGGGGACTCTGGGAGGTGCCGAAAGTGCTTGCAATTAAACGGCAAGTTTTCATTAAAATGGACTTTTGCTGATCACTTCAAATGGTGTGCTGGTGACATCCTTTATATTTGTATACTTTTCATGGTGCCATCCGTGGCCACTACAAGCACCCTCCTGTATACACAGGACATCTACGGATGCGGTAAGGAGTGCAGCAAGATACATCAACTAGTCCTAGGTACAGCTCACGTGTGATGCTGAGACTCTATGATTGAAAGGTCTGAAATCCAATTAATGGAAGGGGCGGGGCAAGGGACAGTCAGGCAGTAAAGTGCTAGACGGAGGTCAGATAGAAGACTGAAGGGGAGGACGGAGGTCAGATAGAAGACTGAAGGGGTGGACAGAGGTCAGATTTAAAGGGGTAAAGTGGGGGAAATGTCCGTGTATTGCAGAAGTTTAATTTTTCGCCCTGACATTCACTTTACGAAGCTTGCATACAAATAATAAGTTGTCCATAAAACATGCGATACATGGGAGGACGGACGGAGGTCAGATAGAAGAATGTAGGGAAGGCTGGAGGTCAGCTTAAGTGGTGATTGGCTAGTTTGGAAGGTGCGTGGGCCTCATTGAAAAGCCAAGGCGCTGATGCGGATAGCTGTCTTGGCTCCTCCCACATTGTATATATTTGATAACAAATGGCGTTCTTACGTATATGTTGATAGTTCCAGGAGTAGCTGAGGGCGCAGTAGCCGGCTAGAATCATAGTCAGGCCTCCTATGCCGCCCTTCCTCACGTTGATGTATTTGTTGTAGTAACGAGTCCAGGCTGCGAGAAACGGGGAAAAAATAAAGCGTTCTACTGTTTTTAGAGAATATTTACATTCCAGCCGCCGGCAAATTAAAAAAATTCCCCAGCGGGAGTTCGAAACAACAATAAAAAAAGCAGCTCTGGTGCAACACTCGCCTCCTCTCCGGGGCTGCCCGCTGTGATAATTACTCTCACCATTATGACCTATGTGGTGTAACAATCACCATAGCAACCCAGGCAGCCGCTATGGGGCCCGGGGCTCAGTGGGGCCCGGCCAGATGCCGTGCGGGCCGCCTGGGTCGCTATGGGATCCTCTGCTGGTGGCTTTCACTGGCGGCTGAAGACGAACACGCCGCTGTTCAGATCACTGACAGTAATCTGTGCAGCAGCGCGTTCCTCTCCACAGAGTCAATGAAAGCCAACAGCGGCAGTGGAGGAGGAGGCGGGCCCGGGGTTGGCAGCAGGGGAGGAGGCGGGGCCCGGTGAGGAAGAAGGAGGCGGGCCCGGCGACAGAACACGCCGCTGTTCAGATCACTGACAGTAATCTGTGCAGCAGCGCGTTCCTCTCCACAGAGTCAATGAAAGCCAACAGCGGCAGTGGAGGAGGAGGCGGGCCCGGGGTTGGCAGCAGGGGAGGAGGCGGGGCCCGGTGAGGAAGAAGGAGGCGTGCCCGGCGACAGAGGAGGCGGACAGGTAAGGAGTGCGACCAGCCCACCTGAGGGTGACCCTGCAGAGCCCACCATATAGAGTCTATGATGGGCTCTGCAGGGTCACCCTCAGGTGGAATCTCGAGTGGGCTCTGCAAGGGGTATAACTAGAAATCACGGGGCCCCATACAAAATGTTGCTATGGGGCCCTGTGATTTCTAGTTACGCCCCTGATGCCGGGGTTGTGTATTTACAAGTAGCCGCGGTGGATGGATCACACAGCCCGCAGCGCTGAGCGGCCTCTTATGAAGCGATGTTCAGGCTGTGTGACGGAACTGCTGGTGCTCTGCATGTTTATTGGCCGCCGGCAGATCTGTCACACAGCCCCGCGGCCCTGATTGTTTATTCATAATAGTAAAAGGACCGTCTATGAGGGGCCGGGTACCCAATGCTGGCTGTACCTCCCCTGGAACACCCATATATTATTCTTTGGAACCCCGGTGGAGCTATAGCCACCATTACCAAAAAAAAATTGCGTGCGCCCGCAAAATCGCAAAAAACGCCCGTAGGCGACGATTAAAATGCTTTTACTGCTCATCAATTATTGCTCTCACTGCGACGTTTGCGGCGATATGTAACATGTGCGGCACAATTGGCGTTCTCGCACGTAGGCGCATATCTGCGTGCGTATGTGGGGGGGCGGGGACTTTAAAAAAATGTTTTCTTTTTGAATTTTTTGTTATGCTTTATTTTTTT